ACCTTGTGTTCACTATTATTTCGCGCGACATCGAATTACCCATTAATTCTCTACCGTTTGCCTTAAGGGATTTATTTATTCTAGTCAGAATAATAAACAATCGTGTTATAATCAGTCGCTCGCCACCAGAACCGATATTACCGTAACGCCAATGTACGCTGCCACGATGTGATTTCAAGTCGTAGGTGTGTAAAGTAGAATTAAGCGAGAAGAGAAAGTGGCGATTACACCGACAGCGAAGTATTTTCTCGTTCACAAGTGAAATGAGATACTGAGTAGAGATCAAACTCCACAATGCTATCGCGATTCTTTTTGTAACTGATCATACGTACATTTATTTTGCGTCACATAAAAAAATATATAAAATTCGTATAGATTATCTCTTGTACACAAAACCTAAAATATCTTACTCAACAAGGACAGTAGATTTCTAATCGACAGGACAGTCGTCCCTTCCCGAGTGTTGATGTGGTGTCTGAGCACACTCAGAAGTTTCTGATACAAGAACGATTGCCTGTCCGAAAGAAAAAGATGAAATGGCATGAGTTACTCTCAGCGTCCCTCCTTCCGTCTTGTAATTACGTAAAAGGACACAACCATACTCGACAGATATACGGTTTTGAAACATTATTGGCAGTCGGACAAAAAGAAAACAAGTTCGTTGATGATGTAATAAAGCTTCACGTCCTTCCTTTTATCCAATGATGTTTCTAACCCGCACAGCACTCTAGATATTACCTGTTAGCCGGCTTGCATATCGATAAATGATCCTGCGGAATCTCGAAGAACTCTCCCACGCCAGGATCTGGAAAGATACAGACATTACAGTGTTTTATATGCGTATGTGTTTGCGTATGTTGTTGATAAGGATCTAGATAAGTTAGATTGATTTGCAATTGCGTACCGTCAAGGTAAGCTGATCTGTAATCGACGACGCGTGAAAATGGAATATCGACAGTACATGTCTAATCTGAAGCATTACCTGCTGAATCGAGGGTGACGAATTGAAAGGGAAACTTGAGCGCGGTTACAAGCGTAGGTTTGGCCTCGGCGAAACTCACAATCTCTATGCGATATTCATTCAGCATTTCTAGGAATTCCTCGTGCAATCTTAGCAACTGCGGCGATTCTGGAAAAAAAATGTTGGAACAATAAGTCGCGCGTTAATTGGAAACCAAAGACAGATTGGCGATTACCTTCGCGTAGTTCTTGAACCTCGACCGTTGGCCATAGCAGCATTTGCGTCGCTTGCTTAAATGTCCTTAAATGTCCTCACTTTGAGAACATTTGAGGTATTGAGGTTGCAATACATCCCATATTGCTTTACATACTTCGGGAATGATGGCATACAGAGTTGACTTCCCAATGCGAAACCACAACGAAATTATTCGAATGCTGTCTCCGTGAGCAAGGAAGCTGCAATATTGAATGATCATATTCGAAGTATGATTCAATTAATAATAAAAATTTTCGTTTTTTATAAAAAAATAAAAACCACATGTTATATTATTAGTATTATTTATTATATGAAGTGAGTAATTCTAACCTTAACGTTGCAGCAAGACGAATTTCGGTTGAAATCGGTTCTCTGTTACTGGTTTTCTGCAATTTCGGCTTCAACAAATTGTGTAAATAATCGAATTGTTCTGCTGACATTCTTATCAGTTTGAACAATTCACAATGATCAGTTGTTTGAAAATATAAAAATAAATTTCGATAAGCACCCTGACTTTCTCGAATCTCACGAGAGATATGGGGTTTCACTCACCATCGTCTTCCACGCTTGCTTTTCAAAAGAAGGAATTTTATTTTTATTATTGCAATCCAAAGCAACAATAAAGTGCTTAATGTCACTGTTTCCGAATCCATTGAACACTAAATTGGACTATCGTCAATATCAACTTAGGTCTTCACGAAATGATAAAGCCTTCGAAAAAATATATTAGGGTTTCTTTAAAACTCATTAAACATTCTCTTTAAAAA